ACGTTTCAAAATAATAATAATAATAATGCCGAAGTAACAACATACTGAAAACTGTTAGTAAAACCATGTTTTACAATTTACATACCTAGATGCACGTGTGTTGTGTTTATGCAGTGCAACTCCCACCCAGTGGGTGGCTATGTAGAGTGATAGAACAGAGCAGGCACGCCCCCGAGAGAAGGAAAGCAAGTCACGTCACAAATTAGCATTTCTAAAATGTTAGCGTGGATTAATAAAAGTGCAAAAAGACAGCGGTTGTCGCCGGAAGAAACTTCAAATACAGAGAATGCTGTGCCTGTGTTGGAAATTGTGTCTGATGGGGAGCTTTCTTTGGTTGATCCTCCTGCTCCAAGTTCTAGTGCATTAGCATTGGCACTAGCTCCGCCGCCTCCTCCAGAGCCTCTAACGTTAGCTGCTGCTGGCGCAACTGCCACCACCAACACCGGGCAAAGCGATGCACCTGACTGCTGGACAACGGACCAGGTGCAATATTTTTGCAAGACCAATGCATGGCTCCTTCTTAAAGATAAGAAGCTAGGATGTCGGATATGCAGAGATGTCAAATATTTGGGAATACACACTGGACAAGGACTGAAACTGTCAACTGAATGGGGTGAGTGTGCAGTGTCTCATTTCGGTGTTGACAAGGGCAAACAACAAGCTAGCCTGAGCAAAAAAATCAAAGAACATAAAGAATCACAAGCCCATGTAAAAGCTGCTGACATCCTTACATCTGCTTCACGTGAAACTATTCAACATCAAGTGCAGTCTATGCATACATCTGAATTAGACACCACTATCAGAATTTTTCGAACGGCATATAAAATTGGCAAACATAGCCGGCCATTCACAGACATGCCAATTGATTTGAATGTACAGAAACTGAATGGGCTGAACGTGGGCAGGGTTTTGCACTCCAATAAAACCTGTGGCGAAATCATCGACCACATAGCTCATGAGCTGAAGAAAAAAATGGCAAAAGACATTACAGAAAACCAAAGAAAACTCTGTGTTTTGGTCGATGAATCTACCACTATTAGTGGTAAAACGGTGCTTGTTGTGTGTCTACGCTCAGCATTAGCTGATGCTGAGCCCGAAACGTTTTTTTGGGAGCTGATCGAGTTGGATGGAACAACGGCTGATGACATCACAAAGGCGTTAATGGAGTGTCTTGGAAGAGATTTTAACGAGGACTTTTTAGGTCAGTGTTTCGTTTCTTTTGCATGTGATGGGGCTTCAGTCATGCTAGGGAAGAGAACAGGCGTTGCTACCCAGTTGTGTAGTAAATTCCCAAGCCTGTTTGTGTGGCACTGCTCCAATCATCGTCTAGAGCTGGCAGTTGGGGATGTGGTCAAGGAGGTCTCAGGGCTCAATCATTTCCAGATCTTTTTTGACAAACTCTATTCCTTGTTCCATGCCTCCCCCAAAAATCAGAGGCAGTTAGCGCAGTGTGCGCAAGCAGTCGGACAGCGTCTCCTGGTGATAGGGCGTGTTTTGTCCATCCGCTGGGTGGCTTCAAGTGAAAGGAGCGTCAGAGCAGTCTGGGAAAACTACCGAGTGCTTCATGATCACTTCACAAATGCTACAAACGACACGAGCAGGGATTCCAGAGACAGAGCAAAGTACAAGGGCCTGGATGATGTGCTCACATCTGCAACGTTTGTCAGCAATCTGGGACTGATGTACGATGCGCTCACAGAGCTCAGCGACCTCTCTCGGCAACTCCAAAAAAGAGAGATGACACTGCCTACAGCAGATAGGCTCTTAACTCGAGAAATACGAGTTTTTGAATCCATGGTCACCATGCCTGGCCCACACATGACTACAGTTCATACAGCTCTAGCTGAGAAGTCCTTCAAGGGTGTTGCCCTGCGTGAGAATGGCAGGCTGTACAGATTCATGCAGGTCAGTTTTTTCCGCAGTATGGTAGAGAATCTGAGACACAGAATGACTTCCACAACCTCCTCTCATGTCAGCACAAGAGAAATCCCATTACATGGCCGGGAGGCCCGGGACAATCAGCTAATCCAGGACATGAAAGTTATCCATCCTGGAAGTTGGCCTGAAGAGGAGTTAGACGTACAGTATGGGGACGTAGAGGTGCTACGTTTGTGCGAAGTGCTGAAAGTGGACAGAAGAGAGACTGTTCAGGGCTTTCGCGAATACAAGGAAACCAGGGCATCCCGTACACCTGCTGCCATGGAGCCTCTACTGAAAGCAGTCCGAACCATCGTTGTCTCCACTAGTGAGTGTGAGCGGGCATTCAGCTGCATGAACGATATCCTTACTGCAAAAAGGAATGCTCTCTCTGTCAGCCGACTGTCCAGCCTGGTTTTCATTAAATGTAATGGACCATCACTAGGACAGTTCAATCCGGAACAGTATGTGAGGTCCTGGCTGGCAAAGGGAAGGAGAAGTGCTGATGAAAGAGCCTGTCCAGCTCCAGCCCCTGATACTGATGTCCCCAAGGCCTTCTGGAGCCTTTTCTAACAATGTGAAGTATATTGCAAAGCAGCTCACCCAGTGAGAAGACTTTTGGCATAATGTGCCGATTTGTACAGATCCTGGAGATAGAAGGACTTCAGACCAACCAGGGAGTTATCTGATCAGCTTGGTGTTCAATGTAACTCTTTACCATGGCTCAGACTTTGTTACTTGCAGTTACAGTTTCTCATTTTAGATTGTGCAAATTTTGCATTTGTTTTTACATGTTCTTTGTTCATGCTCTTTATCATTTTTCTGAGTTGGAAAGTTAGATTGCATCATAGTTTACTTTATACATATTTGTATTCTTCAGTGGTGAAGTATATTGCAAAGCAGCTCAGCCATGTGAGAAGACTTTTGGCACTTTTTCGTTTTCTGAGTTGGAAAGTTAGATTGCATTCAAAATGTACAGAAATACTTAATTTTGTTAAAGCTTTTTATAAAAAATGCTTCTGACCAGAGCTTTGTTTCCTTGTCATTAATGTTGAACACCACCAGAGGGGCTCTCACCTGAAAGGTCTCTGCTTCATGTGTCTTCAGCAGAAGATCTAGACTTTGATTGCTATATTTTCAGTTAATATTGACCTTACTGAGCTTTAGCCATATCCGCTGCCTATCATAAAAAATGTTAAGTACAGTGAACCTTTCTAAAATATACAGTAGTAAAGCGACAAACCCACCAGCATTATAGTAGCCAAATTCTTGTTTGTGGGCTGTATATATAAAATTGACTTGAAAAAGTTGCTGATTTTAGAGTACTGGCACCTTTTTCATTCCAATTCAAGCACTGCTTCAGAGTCAACAAAGATTGAAACGAAAACAGAGGAATAATAATAGTTATTATTTAAATGATTTGAATGGTTTTGAATCACATATAGTAGCTGCCTCCATCAACTGAGAGCAAGATTTAAGTACAGTATGGACTGAGTGTTACAAAAACTGAATGATTGTTCACAGGTTTTCTGCTTTGAATAATTACAGAATGTGTGATGTGCTGGCAATTGAAAGTTAAATTGCTTTCTCTACATCTTGTAACATGTTGTTTACAGAAATATCTCTTTTATGTGACTAACCATGCAGGATTTATCTCTCACATAATTTGGAATACAACACACAAATTCAGTGTCTGGTTGGATACCTAAGCACTATTATAAATGTATTATAGCTATGCACCTCAGCTCGTCAGAAGAACAACTGCCCCAACTGCTTTCATAGTCTGCCATTATGCTTTCATCAAACTTTGATATAACTGGGCCATCGTTGCATGGTAAAATGACTTGAAAGGAAAGGTGGCTCCTCATTTATCCACTGACATGCTCAAAGCACCACCTGGGTTCATCCCTCATGAATTGTCTTCTCTCCCCCTCCCAGTCATTCACTATCTCTAAGCAATGAGGGGCTTCATTTGTTTCAATAGACCATAAATCATCGCTGCACGTTGGAAATAAATGATAAAAGATCTCTCTTCTCAAAATGATTACCACATATGATCACCTGAGCAAGGCACTAAACGATTAAAAGGTGGTGTTGTGCGCTGTACAGCCTGCAGTTGTTTCATTGCAGTTTTTTACATTTATGCCTTCTTTACTTTTAGTTTTTAGCAATGAGGGGTTCAAATGTGCTTCCTCTAGTATGCCGTTTGTCATAGTTGTGAAAAGTCTGCATTTTTTCCATACTTTTTACCACTCCACTGTATTAATCTCACCCTACACTGAAGCACTTCATTGGATTAACCCTCCCTGGAGACATTATAATTCAGAAGAGACGTATACTATATATGTGATGACAGTAGAAGCCTCACCTTGAAACTCAAAGTCAACCTCCCACTGAGGCCCAGTGTGAACACTCACACTTGTCCCCTGTGCATTTGCAGTGCCATGCCATATATAAACTGTATATACTTACGGCTACTCTTTAGTATGCTAACATATGACGGCACCTTCGGCTGTCATTCTCATTAGTGACACGCTAGTTAGCTGATTATTCCACTTGTGTCAGAGATATCGGCCCTAGAAAAGTCTGCCTTCTTTCAAATATGATAGGACAAGATGGCACTAGATATAGTTAGCGGGTGTAGTTTGTGCACTTTGAGCAGCACAAGACGAGTGCCAAGTACTTCCATTATATTTGAGAGAAGGCAGACATTTCTACAGCACATTCTTATAGCACTCTGCAACCCATGCTAAAACAATCTAGATTGATAGATAGCACTCCAGGTAGGAAGAAAATGATCAATAAGTCTAAAAAGGTCTTCAAATACAGCTCTTTCTCCCTCGGCCAGTTTCAAAAGTGAGGACCACAGATGGGTCACTCTCATATATTATTCCACAACGACGAATAAAAGCTTAATATGAAAACGCAGTCCGATATAAGTCTGCAGGGTATTTACTCAATCTCTTTTAAGTGCAGTTCCAAGGGAAGTGGAGCACCAAAGTGGAATTGTAGGGCAGAAAATGAAACAGCAAGAAAGAGAAGTTGAAAAAAGCAGAGCCAGTGATGTGGATGAGTAGATTTACCTGGCCCAGAGCAAAAGGACGCAATCACAGCCAGTATGCAGACGTAACTGAGGTAGGGCATCCATGACATACTGTCCTGGAATAAGAGTGCAAAAAGATGATATTTTAATGAACAAATTGGTAAAAAATATCTAAAGTCAGCTCTGAGTAAGTGTTTAAGTCTTTAAGGGAATTTATGAATTGATCGCCGCATCCTATGGGTATTTTGTTTTTGTTCAACAGCCAACATCATCCAATAAATCCAGGAAAATGTCATCAATCAATCAGAGACACCTTGTAATTTAGAGTATGTTATAAATGAGATCAGTGAAGAAGAGGAAGAGTGGCTTACCTGGAAATGAAGGAACACTGTTAGTAGGCTGAAGAATACAGCCATGGAAACGAAACCAAAGATGAGCAGGGGCTTCCTCCCGATTCGCTCTATCACTAAACCCTGGGAAGAGATTTAATGTAACAGTTTTTAAATCATTTATATATTTTTCTTTACAATGACTGTGTGATCATGAACATATTGGAAGCAGAATCACACTAGGGATGCCATTGTCAGTTTATGTAACAACACTGAAACGTCTCAATATCTGGTTTCTGATCAAATGGAGTACAGACATTTATATTCCCCAGAGGATGAATCTTACTAATTAAGGTGACTGTAACCTGTAGTGCAACCATAAGATTGGCCCCTGTCGTTTTTTGTCTTCACAACATTTCGATTTTTATCTTGAAAACCTTTGATGGATTGCCTTGACATTTAGTACAGATGTTAATGATGCCCAGAGGATGAATCTTAATAACTGTGCTGATCAATTCGTCATCTCATGCCATCATGAGGTCAATGTTTCGACATTGGTTTCTGATAAAATAGTAGTGAATGGACAATTCACTACTAAGAGACCGCAAGAGAACATTCTAAAATGTTAGAATGCTAACAAGTTGATTTAAAGAAGTTGTCTCTTTCTGATTTCTGATCAACATGTTACGATCTATTTTGTGCATTTTCTCAGCTTTGTCTTGCACTGTATGAAAACAATCTTGGAAATGACAGTCAAGGACAACAAAATAACAACTTATTTTAGAACAAAGACTTGCTGAATGGAGAACATCACATGTATTTGCTGAAACTGTCAAACCACTGCTGAAGGTGGAGAACCCCCTATACATAATACATTGTAAAGTAGAGATTTACTCACACACACACAATACTGCATGTGTCTCATCAATAATTCTACAGGCTCTTCCAAGATGTCTTTCTTCTTTGGTCATGGATTCATTGGGGGAAAAGATAGCGAGCCCGGAAAAAATGTTTCCTCCCCCTTTTCCATTGTGGCTCCAGAACATTATAGTATTCATGAGTTTGCCCTCAAACTAGCCTAACCAGTGGCATTTTACCAGGTTGTGGATAAAGCTGTTCCTAAGGCTGACTTCATCTCTGGCTATGCCTCCCTGCAGACCCTGGATTTCCTTGCTCTCACTGAGACCTGGATTACTCCATTCAACACATCCACCCCAGCAGCTCTCTCCACAGCATATTCCTTCTCCCATACACCCAGACCCACTGGCAGAGGAGGTGGCACTGGTCTCCTGCTCTCTCCCAAATGGAGCTTTTCCCTCTTCAAGCTACCTAACTTCACTCCTTCCACCTTTGAATTCCATGCCGTCACAGTAACCCATCCTATACAATTAACCATTGTTGTTCTCTACCGTCCACCAGGCGCCTTGGGGGACTTCTTGGAGGAATTAGATCATCTCCTCTCACACATCCCTGAAACTGGCCCTCCCGCTGTACTTCTCGGAGACTTCAACCTCCAGACAGGGAAGATAGACGAACTAACATCTCTGTTAACCGCCTTTGCTTTCTCGCTGTCTCCGTCCCCACCGACTCATAAAGCTGGCAATGTCCTTGATCTCATATTCTCAAGGAACTGCACTACTTCTAACCTCTCTGTAAACCCGCTCCACACATCCGATCACTTCTTCATTTCATTCTCTCTACCCCTTTCCAAACATAACAAACTAATCTCTTCTCATCCTGCACTTGTCCGCCGTAACCTTCGTTCCCTATCCCCCTCTACCTTTGCCTCATCGGTGCTCTCAGCCCTCCCTTCCTCTGACTCGTTCCAACTCCTGCCTCCAAACTCTGCTGCAGAAACTCTCCTCTCTACTCTCTCATCCTCTCTGGACTCTCTCTGTCCTCTCACATCTCGGCAGGCTCGTCAGTCCCCTCCTGCTCCCTGGCTAAATGATGCACTGCATGCTAATAGAACCGTCCTTAGGGCAGCAGAGCGGAAACGGTGGAAATCCAAACACCGTGACGACCTCCTAACCTATCAGGCTCTCCTCTCCTCTTTCTCTGCTTCGATCTCTCAGGCAAAAAGCACTTTCTTTCAAGATAAGATCCAATCTTCCTATTCCAATCCCAAAAAAATATTTTCCATCTTCTCCACCCTCTTGGACCCTCCCAAAGCCCCTCCCCCTCCTCACTTCTGTCAAGCGACTTTGTTAACCACTTTGAAAAAAAGGTTGATGATATTCGCTCTTCTTTTTCTGACTCACCTTTACTCACCGCTGGGTCACCAGACCCTCCTTCCACCCACACACTAACCTCCTTTTCCCCTCTCTCTTCAAGTGAGGTTCTTACCCTCATTACCTCTGCCCGCCCTACCACCTGTCCTCTGGACCCTATCCCTTCAAACCTCCTTCAGACTATCGCTCCTGATATTCTACCGTTTCTCTCCCATTTCATCAAAACTTCTCTAACTTCTGGTCACTTTCCAAACAGTCTCAAGGAGGCAAGAGTAAACCCTCTCCTAAAGAAACCCACTCTCAACCCGTCTGATGTTATAAACTACAGGCCTGTCTCTCTACTCCCGTTCCTGTCTAAAACACTTGAACGCGCTGTCTTTAAACAACTCTCCTGTTATCTCCATCAGAACAACCTTCTGGATCCGCACCAGTCTGGTTTCAAGGCAGGTCACTCCACAGAAACTTTTCTCATTGCTGTCACTGAGGAACTGCACACTGCCAAAGCAGCATCCCTCTCCTCTGTCATCATCCTGTTGGACCTGTCCGCTGCATTTGACACGGTGAATCATCAGATCCTCCTTCGCACTCTCCAAAAACATGGAGTTTCAGGCTCTGCACTTTCCCTCTTCACCTCATACCTCAAAGACCGTACCTACAGGGTAACTTGGAGAGGGTCCGAGTCCGACCCTTGTCAATTAACTACAGGGGTCCCTCAGGGCTCTGTTCTTGGTCCCCTCCTCTTCTCCCTGTACACAAACTCGCTCGGATCAGTCATTAGCCCGCATGGTTTTTCATACCACTGCTACGTTGACGACACCCAATTAATTCTGTCCTTTCCCCGCTCAGAGACCCAGGTCGTCGCACGCATCTCTGCTTGTCTAGCTGACATCTCTCAGTGGATGTCTGCTCATCACCTCAAGCTCAACCTTGACAAGACTGAACTGCTTTTTCTTCCGCGAAAAGATTGTCCCACTCTTGACCTGACAATCAACATCGGCACCTCTGTTGTTTCCCCGACTCAGACTGCAAGGAATCTGGGTATGATCCTAGATAACAACCTGTCCTTCACTGCAAACATTGCTGCTACAACCCGTTGCTGCAGATACACGCTTTACAACATCAGGAAGATACGTCCCCAGCTGACCCAGAAAGCCACGCAGGTTCTGGTCCAGGCTCTCGTCACCTCACGCCTAGATTACTTCAACTCCCTCCTGGCTGGTCTACCTGCATGTGCCATCCGACCTCTGCAGCTCATCCAGAATGCAGCGGCTCGTCTGGTCTTCAACCTTCCTAAATTTTCCCACACCACTCCGCTCCTCCGCTCCCTTCACTGGCTTCCGGTAACTGCTAGAATCCACTTCAAGACACTGGTACTTGCTTACCATGCTGCGAATGGATCTGGCCCTTCCTACATCCAGGACATGGTTAAACTGTATACCCCAGCGCGTGCACTACGCTCTGCATCAGCCAAACGACTCGCTGCACCCTCGCTGCGAGGGGGACCCAAGTTCCCATCAGCAAAAACACGTGGGTTTGCTATCCTGGCTCCAAAATGGTGGAATGAGCTCCCCATTGACATCAGGACAGCAGAAAGCCTGCACATCTTCCGGCGCAGACTGAAAACTCATCTCTTTCGACTCCACTTCGAGCGATAGAATTACTAACAAAGAACTGCTAACAGAGCACTTATATACTAATAAAGGACTGGCTTATCTATAGCTAGCTGAGTAGCACTTGAAATGTTTGGCTTTATGAAACCTGATGTACTTATATGATTCTGTTTTCTTCAAGGTTGTGTCTTCCTGGTCGAATGTACTTATTAAAAGCGTCAGCTAAATGCAATGTAATGTAATGTAATAAAGGTTACTGGTATATGATCAGTATGCAGACCTGCACCGAGGGGCTTCTGAGTGTAACAGGGAGGAAGAAAATAACTTGAGATGTTTTTACAATGTGATTTATGTGCGGTGTAGGAGAGGTGCTTTCTTCCCTGTTCCTAAGAAAACAGGATCAAGACTTTTCCACAGGTCTAAGTTTACGTTGGCAGCAGGTTATGTGTCTGCTTTAGTATTTGCCTCCAAATGCATTGAAATTCCCTCCGTGTGTGTGAGTGTGTGTAAGTGTGTGCTTGTGCGTGTGCGTGTGTGTGTGGTCCTTGAAGACATTGGGCATGTACACAGACAGAAGCACACACTCATACACCAACCTCCCGCAAAGCTGCAGCTCGTTAAGGACTCTATAAGAGGCTGAATGTGTGTGTGTGTGTGTGTGTGTGTGTGTGTGTGTGTGTGTGTGTGTGTGTGTGTGAGAGAGCCTGAATGATTAAGAGTGGGGACAGAAGTGAAGTGCCTAGGAATGTGTGTTATTTCCATTAAGAGCAGAGTGCTATTGTTCAAGTCCTCTATTCTCTATTCACCTACCCAGGTGTTTCATATTTCGAGCACAAATAATTAATCGAAATTCTATCGAAATCGCAAAATATAGAACTATTTCGAAATCGCAGTGCTATAATTGTTAAATGCGAAATATGTGAACACATCACCTTGTATTGTAATCCTTACCCGTTACGGTGCTGTAGATGATTATGTTAATAATGTTAGAAAAATTGTTATTGCCTCTAATATCGCAAATCGTTTCGCAATAGCAGTATCAGTTTAAATAATCGTATATATAATAGTTATTATTTTTAACTCATGCAGCCCTCTTATAAATGACACTGAACTACTCTATGAAAATAGAATAAGTGACGATAATACACCATCATCCCACAGATCACTACAGAAGTAAGACAATGATATTTTTAATATTTCTTTACACACTGGTGACACATAATCTTGCAGGAAAAGAATATTAAGGGTTTCTAAGATTGTTCCAATCCTGTTAGAGGAGGCTCTGCCGTCTGAGCATAGCTGA